CTTTAAAAGCTGCTCTGCTTTTGTATGCTAAGCACCTGCTATCTCTATTCTGATTCAAATGAAGCCTATCTCTTCTGAATAGGCACACCTTGCCGCAGAATGCTGTTTAAATTAATTTAAAGCCATCTTCTCTATACAGTTGTCTCATTTGCACATCAGTTTCACCTATCTAGCTGACTCTGCATATGGGTCAGATAACAGTTACCAAATTATGGTACCTGAGAGAATGATATACAACCTAAAGCTATTATCTTGTGGAGATGTGCTGGATAGGAATTTTCCCTGAACACATTCAGATTTACTTCTGAGTAAACATTTTAAACATTTGCAAAATGTAGTACACATACTTACCTGTGATAAAGTTCTATTGTATTAACTGGGATTTTCTTCTTGGTAAACATGAATAAGTGTGGCATCTTCCCCTCCCTTGCTAACCCCCCACCACCACTCTAGAGCAGAAGCAGGGAAAAGGCATGTGGCCACAATCCTGTTTTTGTCCCACCCTGTGTTTTGCAAGTTCCCACTCATCCCCCAAACATTTTAAGAAAGTTATATTTTATATATGACATTTCTGGGAGACCTTGTGGACTATGGATTTTTTTGGGGGGGGGGGCTGTACTGGTTTTTGTTCATTCGTTATTAGCCTTTCTTCAAATTAGAAAATAATTGTATCCCCTGATCTGTTCATTTCCTGTCAAACATAACTACATCAAACATAATAGCGTAATGATGCTACTCATCAAATGGAACTTTTTCAGCCTGCCTTAGTTTTTGAGGGGCTGCAGATTGGGGGATTGGGGAATCTGCTGTACGCTTCCAGTCATGGGGCTCATTGAGAACAGGTACTTGAAGAATCCCCCTTAGTGACCCTATCACATGGGAAGGCTCCTCCCCGTACTGTTTCACCAGCAAGCATAGCGAAACAACAGGTGCGAGAGGCAACTTTGGCACCCTGCCCATTGCTCTGCTGTGACAAGGCTTTCACCATCACATGTGGAAAAAGTCAAATGGGGGAAAAGTTACTTTTTCAACAACAACAAGCAGTGTTATAAAATTACTAAGACTAGGACTTTATCGCACGAGGAAGCCAAATTGGCATTGAAGTGTTAGCATCCCACTGCTGGTTTGCCTCCTCCCCACACTTAACCTATCCCCACTATTGAGAGATAAAACCAGTCAAAACCAGTCAATCCAACCTTGCTATACTTGAGCTGTCTGCATTGTGCTTTCAGTCATATTTTTCCTTTTTTGGCAATCATTGTTGAAACTGTGAAATTGCTCAATTTCTTTTTTAAAGATTTATGGAGCGGCAGAAGTGTAGGAATGTGAGCTTATGAGGGTAGGTACAAGTACCACCTCAGGACCATGGAGTCTCAAATTGGCTCAACTGCATGAATGATTTGAAGAGCAATAGCAAAGGTGCTCATCCTAGTATGTCCTCACTATCTATGATAGGTCTGCTGTCGTGGAATAGCATCTCTGTACAATAAAGTCTTATATCTCTTTCCCCTTACTTCATCTTTTGTTTTCTGATAGAATTTAATTTAAACAGAGCACCGGCTCTAGTAAAGCATTTGAACTAAAGGGCTGGCACTATTACTGGAATGATCTTTATAGCATAGTTTTGTGTTACTGTGATGCTGTTGGCTGCATCATAAAAACACAGCAGAAAAGATGGAATAACAACTCCCTTATCAAAAAAAGATATGACATGGTTTTTATTTGAACTCTCTAATCAGTCTTGGTGCATCTGGAAATACAAATCATGTCTGCATAAGTCACAACGGGTCGTGGTAAGACACGTAGTAAACATAATTCCTTGCTGTGAAAAAGAACAACAAGATAGAATTGTATTGCTTCAAACTGGCAGATTGCTGGAAGATAATGACAATTCCAATGATTAATCAAGGATGAACTAAGTAAAAGGATCATTGTAGTAGTGGTTGTAGGATAAATCTGCTGAAAAATGAAAGAAAAAAGTACAAACATAAATGAATGTGATACATGGCTTTAAAACTATGTTGTTGTTGTTGTTACAGTAGACTCTTGTTTATCCAAACTTCACTCATCCAACGTTCTGTATTATCCAATACAGTCTACCTCCCACCCGCATCCACATCTGTTTCAATACATTGCGATGTTTCGGTGTTAAATTCGTAAATACAATAATTACTACATAGCATTACCATACATTAAATTGCTTTTTCTGTCGATTTATTGTAAAACATGATGTTTTGGTGCTTAATTTGTATAATTTGTAAAATCATAATGTAACTTGATGTTTAATAGGCATATTATCCAATATTTTCACTTATTTATTATTATTATTTATTTACTTTGCTTATATACCGCTGTATCTCAAGCCCGAAGGCGACTCACAGCGGTTACTTATGCAATCTTCTACTGGCACGTTTATGTTGGATAAGTGATACTCTATTATTATTATTATTGCTTTCCTCAAAAAAACAGGAACTCAAAGTGGCTCATAATTTAAAACAGCAATAGCAATTTCCTATGTATCTGTAAAGGAGCCCCCGGTGGTGCAGTAGGTTAAACCACTGAGCTGCTCAACTTGTTGACTGAAAAGTCATAGGTTTGAATCCAGGAGCAATGTGAGCTTCCTCTGTCAGCCTCAGCTTCTGCCAACTTAGCAGTTCGAAAACATGCCAATGTGAGTAGATCAATAGGTACTGCTCCAGCAGGAATGTAACGAGGCTCCATGCAGTCATGCTGGTCACATGAACTTGGAGGTGTCTACGGACAACGTCAGCTCTTTGGCTTAGAAATGGAGATGAGCACCAACCCCCAGAGTCGGACACAATTGGACTTAATGTCAGGGGAAGACCTTTACCCTTACCTGTGTCTCTGATAATGTTTCTGACAATATTTTTGTTAGAAATTCCTGTTAGAAATGTATCTCCAGTGTCAACATGAAGATCCTCCTTTTGGTTTCAGGGTAGTTGTACATTTCAGTTGTCATGAATTTGGGGCAATATCCAACCTTAACACACACAATCCTTTTTTGGAACAGCATAAACTACAAGAAATGGGAGGGACCAAGTTTTTATTCATCCACATAGTCCCCCAAAAGTAGATGTTGAAGTCTAGGGAAACTTTTGGTTTTCAGATAACATGGTCCCCATCTATACTGCTATATAATTTGGTTTGAAATTGCATTATAAAATTAATGTAGACTCGTATAATGCAGATGTATTGCATTGAACTGTTTTATATAAGTTTACACTGACAAGATGAAAGGAAAGAAAATTTCATAGGAACGATTTTTCAAATATTGGAGCTAGCCCTTTTTATTCAGCACTTTACTGTATGTATTCTGTTCCATATTCACATAAAATATCGAGTAAAATATTACTGTAGAAGCTTTGGTTTATGACTGGATGACAACTAATATATTTGTTTGGTGTTTTAAATTTGGCTATGATACACTTGTTTGTCATTTGAAAATAAAGCTGCTACAGTCTCAATTATCTGTAGGAGAGTAGATTTTAATAATAGGACTGTCTCTTCCACCCACTCATTCATGAAAGACAGCTTGTCAATATGAGTGAAATGGCTTTCTGTATACATGAACTAGATTTATTGTATGAGACTATTTCCACATTCAAATGTGTAATTGTGTTTATTCTAACAGGGAATGGGGACATAAAAACAAGTGTGGAATGTAGTTATTGATTACAAAAGTGGAACTCATGTATAATGTGGTATAATCTTAAATTTGCTACTTCGGTGCATTTTACAGTAAATACTACCTTTTTAGAAATCCTCTGAATGGAACTTCTCTTTTTCTCTTCTATTATTAAGTGTGCAGATATGATTCTTTCTCATATATGTACATATATATATATATATATATTTCACATCCAGTCTATTCCTCGAGATGCATTATATCTGTGCACATGGGTTGCTAGCCTTCCTAGGCTGGAGCTACAATGCCGTATATCCCAAGATCTGATCCCAGATTATCTGGCAGTATAGACTCATATGATCCAGTTCAAAGCAGATGATCAGGGATCAGATCCTGGGACATAAGGCAGTGTAGATTGAGCCTAAGTTTTCACCACAGCAATCCTATGAGGTATCTCATACTGTAGAATTAATGAAGTTTTGTGGCGTAATGTAAAATAAATCACGTGTAGTTCCCATTTGATCAGCCTACACACTGCCTTGCCAGTGAAAGAAAATATGCCACACAGATGAACAATAAAGAACAAGTAGCTTACTCTTCGTAACTCAGAACAACATAGTTACAATCATGTGATCAATTGCATCGACTCACATAATTTCCTTTTATGAAAATTTAAAATGGTCTCTCTTTGTCCATGTGGATAAACTTCTTCAGCAGCTCGTGAAGTGAGAACACAATCCAAACATCTCTCTCTCTACTTCTCTCTGCTTCGTTCTGATTCTCTGCAAGCAACAGCATGGCTCAAGCCTGAAAAATGTAACAGTAACCAAAAGTCCCAGGCTCAGGCAGCTCCTTGACCAATCAGCTTCATGCATCTTATTCACAGTTGACATATACACACTAACTGATTTTTTTGCATGCTCCGACAAGTTTGACACCACTTTAATTGCCATGGCTCCATGCTATTAATTAATGGGTGGTGTAGTTTGGTGAGGCACCAGTGTAGTTTGGCAGAGGAGGCTAAAGACCTTCTAAAACTACAACTCCCAGGATTCCATAGCAATGAGCCATGGCAATTAACGTGGTGTCAAACTGTATTTTCTAGATGCACCTTTAGAGGGCAATTGGCCCCATAAAGAGAACATGATGATTTTAACTTGTGCATTCCAAGTCCTACTGCGAGGTTTGAATGAATTTACTACATTGGCTTTCTTTTATACAGTCTGTTCAAATGGTAATATCACACGTTTTTACTTGGAGAATTTGAAATCTGGCTACTTTGCTGGTATTTGCCTTTATGTTAAATCCAACAGATACTAATTTTTATTCCTTTATCTTGTTTTCTCTTTCCCAGATGTACATCCAGACAACAACACTAACAATCTCCATGAGTTTAAGTGCTTCTGTATCTCTGGGCATGCTCTACATGCCCAAGGTTTATATTATCATTTTTCATCCAGAGCAAAATGTTCAAAAAAGAAAGAGGAGTTTCAAGGCTGTTGTCACAGCAGCCACGATGCAAAGCAAGCTGATCCAAAAGGGAAATGACCGACCAAATGGCGAGGTCAAAACTGAACTTTGTGAAAGTCTTGAAACCAACAGTAAGTCATCCGTAGACTTAACCATGGTCAAGAGTGGCAGCACTTCCTAATAGATGTAGGTTCACAGGAATGCTTAATAACCTTTCTTTTTTCTTGGCTTGATTTGCATGAACCCAAAGATGTGTCAAAATTCATGTGGTTACTTTTAAAGCATTTTTATGTTGATCAAATGCTCCTGCTGAGGACTAAGGCGATTGGACTGCTATTAAGAGCTAGTAATGGGCTAGTGCAAATGTTTGTGAAACCATTTAAGCATTACTTCCCACACATTGTATTTTCCCCATCCCACCCCACCCCATATATCAAAATGGGTGAAATTATTTCACATAACTTTTATTAGTTTTTTTTTTAAAAAAAGAGTAACTGCTGTATTTACAAGATAAAAATATTGAATAAAAATGTAAATTGATGTATAATCCTCTACTTATCTCAACAAAAATAAACACATTGTTTACAATAGAGATTACTTCCAGGTAGAGATACTGGGTTTATAGGGTTGTAAAACTTTGTTTCTCACCTCCTTCCTCCTTCCTCCTCCTCTCCTTATTCTTCCTCTTCCTCTTTTTTTTCCATCACCTCCTCCTTTTCCATCTCTCTATGGTCTTTCTTGGGGAATCTGTTAGTAACTTTCCCATTACACACACACACACACACACACAAATAATTGGTCTTTTGTTTCCATGGATTCTGCATCCATGGATTTAACCATCTATGGCATGGATTTTTTTAAAGGAAAAATTAAAATCTAAAATACAAATCTTTATTTTGCCATTTTTTCTAAGCAGCAATATTTTACTTTTCCACTGTATTTAGTGGGACTTGGGCACCCATGTATTTCTTGTATCTCCAGGAGGTCCTAGAACCAAACCCCAGCAGATACCAAAATTAATTGTATGCATGTGTTTTTCCTCTACAGCATGCTTGACAATGTTTTTCAACTGTGTGTATTTTTAAAAATTCATGCTTTTTCAAGAAAGTGATCTTTCTTCAAAATAAACAGCAAACCTCACATATATGTGATTTCCCAAGAGGTTCGCTTTCTTTTTCATTGAGTCTCAAGATGTTCCAAAAAGATACATTCTCTAAAAATGTTGAACGCAGTGATATGATTCTCTACCCCTCCTACTATATATGTACACACACACACAGGATTGCAGCTTAAGCAAATCAAGTCTAAAATTAAGGCTAAAGAACATTTACAAAGTGATATTTTACCTTAATGGGGATGCAATCACTTGATAAACAAATAATCTGTATTGTTCTGTCAAATGTTGGGAGCAATGATTTTACATCTTGGGAAACAGGTGAAATTACTACTTGGTAGAATGATGGACAACTATGTCTCAGTGGTTGTATCCAGAAATAACTAAGTTACTACTGGAGCTATGTGCAGTTACCCTTTGCCGGAGTTGTAGACCCTTGTATACAAATTTTATTGCTATAACTACTCTAAACATATAGTATTGACCCTCGAATTCTGACACATCTCTAAAGAAATCTGTCTTGAAGTCTGATGATTGAACAATAGGGCAGCATGTTATAACAGCATGTTTTATGAGATGTATATGTATTTTAGAAATGAAAAAAAGGAGCTGAGCAAAGTCAGAAGCCTAAGTCTGAAAAGATTTAGAGGTGAGTGTGATTAAAATAAGTTTTTTAAAAGCTACAGGAAATATTACATTTTATTTATACATGCTACAAAAATGAAAATAAAAAAGCATAGATATTTATCCAGGTGATAATGTGATAGATGTCTAAGGAATAAAAAGTGGTCCATAATGTGCTCATTTTTATTCAACTCCTCCATTCTTTAAATGAAAAAAAAATCTAGAAATCTGTAAACAAAACTGGGATTTTCCTCTCTGGGTTTTATGATGTCATAAATATTAAAAATTGAAAATGGAAAGAGTTATCACACCTCTTTGTCTTAGTTCCAAATACTGCAGATACTGAAGCATGAAGCATGAATTCTTACAAAGTAGTGATAATAATATCTTAAAGATTTTTCTGCTGCCTGTAACTATTGCATGTGGAGATAAAGTTTGAAAGTGGGCTAATTTGTGAGAAATTCCTTCTAGGCAACAGCATGCCATTCAAGAATTGCGGACACAGGGACTGCCTTTGGATAAGGAATTTGGCAGTTTAGCATGGAAATGCACACAACCTTTCCAACAGACACATACTCAAAATAATCAGCTATCAATGTAAAGACTTTTTTATCCTTAAAAAAATGAAATAGCAGAACGGATTGAATTTGGCCATATCAGTGAAAAAGATCATATAAATTTGTTCTGAAAGAATATTCACCAACATATTTCATGCATTTGGGATGGAAAAAGCTGATCGAGTCAGGGAAATATTTGGGTGGTTTTGGTGTGCTGTGGATCACTGAAATTACATTACACATCAAAAGTGGGCTCTCTTGAGTCCCACATTTTTGTCAGAATTGTGTGGATATTTTTACTATTCTCCCCCACCCCATGAACTCAAGCAATGGAGGACTCAATGGTGATCTAAGGTCACATCTACACTGACACTAAAATGCAACTTAGAACTGGTTTGGGATGAACATGTTTTGCTGCACCATTGGGCAGATTGCCATGCCTGAAGCTACTTTGAGTCTGGCCTCAAACTGCTTTGTGGGGGTTTTTGCACTTCAAGAGATGCACATCATTGCACCAGAAGTATGCAGGGTAAAATAAAAGAGGGAAAGTGATAGGTAGAAACAATGTCAATCAATTACCACCCCCCCACCCCACCCCCAGATTTGCCCCCTGCTGCACTTGCTGTGTTTTTTGCCCCCCCCCCCCCGGATGCTTTACTGCACTTTGGTAAGAGTGGGTGTTTATAATGCGCTCCATATTTTGCAGAGCCAATTTCAGCCTGGTTCTGGGATACACTGATATTTGCCACAACACTACTTTTTACTTTTCCCGGGACTTTAAAAATGTGTAGTATACCCTTAGATTTGCACTGCAGCGCACATTAGTGGTGTGCCGTTTGTGGCCACTGCAGACTTGAGTCAGCTTTGAACTGCATTATTTGATCAGTGTTAAGAAACAAAGAATATATAAAGATACACACCACCATCCTTGGCAAGGTTTCACACAGCCCATTTTATGTAGAATTAATGAATTAATGAATGCCATGCCTATGTTGGAAACCACTTTGAGTTCCCCCAGGGGTGAGAAAGGCGGTATATAAATACAATAAATAAATAAATAAATAAATAAATAAATAAATAAATAAATGCCATTGTAATTTGAAGCAAGACCTCTTTTTCCATGAGAACAATATGCCACATAATTTGTGTTTCTTGCATTCCTACGTTGTCATTATTCCTACAAACTCAACCTGAACTTAACACTCATCTTTTGTGTCTGCATTCCAGATGTTGATTCTTGTACTTCTACAAGTAGGGTAGAAGCTCCTACACTCCCACAAAATACTCTAGAGAGCCCCGTCCCTTATATAATTGAAGTGTCTTGGCTGAATGTCAAGAACTTGGAGTTTTCCATTTCTTCAAAAGTCATTCAGTAGCTATGAGACAGTGTTAACTTTCCTCTCTTCTGCCAAAATAATTTGTGGAGACTTTTAGAGGTACTAGTACACTGATCATTCGGTTTCTTTAAAGCTGCTCTTTCAAACTAGCTCTAATAGTACCTGGAATACTACACAGAAAATGTGCCTTCTTACTAACAGTTTTGTGTGACCCTCAGGTCTCAAATTACTTTTCCAATGACAGCCACAGCATAATGCCTTAGTGCAACAATGACATAATGCCAGGAGAGGGGAAAGCACTGTAGAAGGAAGTGAGTCCAAGAGCCTGAAGATATGGCTTCAGTGTTTATTACTTAAATATTTACAAGCTGGCTTCTGAAAAAAAAAAAATCCACATATGGAAGTAAGAAAAATGCAAACGGGAAAATCAAAATACAGTAGTGTAACACCACAATAAAATGATACAGAAAGCCTGCCCAATAATATATTAAAGCAGTTCTTTAAAAAAAAACACATAAGGATTCTCACTCCCACCAGATCCTGTCTCTTCTCTCACTACAGTAAGTTTAGGTGTCCCAAATGTTTTCACCCATCCAAATGTTTTCATCCATCAGGTATCAGAGATTACAGTGAGGATTTCCAGAGTCATACTTTGTAGAGAAATTCTCCTCCAGTTACTGAAGCTCTGTCAGTGGATTTACTTATATTTCATTGTTGTCACAGTTTCCGTTCAATTTAATTAGCTTCGTCTTATGGAATATTGAGATTTTTTAGTTCAATGAATACTGGATTATTTTTAAATCCCTCAACAAACTACCAAGATTCAATGCTAGGAGCCCCCGGTGGCGCAGTGGGTTAAACACCCCCCCCCCCCGTGCCGGAAGGACTGAGGACCGACAGGTCGCAGGTTTGAATCCGGGGAGAGGTGGATGAGCTCCCTCTGTCAGCTCCAGCTCCTCATGCAGGGACATGAGAGAAGCCTCCCACAAGGATGATATAAACATCAAAATCATCCAGGCATCCCCTGGGCAATGTCCTTGCAGACGGCCAATTATCTCACACCAGAAACTACTTGCTCCTGACACGACAAAAAACAAAAACAAAAAACAAAAAACCAAGATTCAGTGGTTAAAGCAATATCAAAGTTCTATCATTGTATAGTGTCAACATGCTCAGTCCTACATTTACCCCATATTCTCTCTGAATAAATAAGAAATATGGATTATGATTTTTATATCTGTGGAACTATATACACCGTTTTAGTTATTTAACGTTTTACTTACTCAGATATTCATTTAGAGTCTCCTGTACATGTAAAAGAATGTAAAGCTACATTCTTTTCTTGTTACTTCAGTCATTCATATCGTTAAAAACAGCAGGGTTTACTATCACCTGCAGTTTCAACATATCCATGTGAATTCTAGTAATGTATTCCCCACAGATATGGAAGTCATGCTGCATATAACCTTTTGAGCTTCTCACAATTCTTTATCAGGAGTGGGCACCATCCTCCATCCACTTTTACAAACCCAGAGGTTCACTACCAGTCTCATACACAATCCATTTAGTACCTAAATAAGGTGTAATGGCCACCAGATAACATTTTATAGGAAATGTTACCCCTAACTGTTGGCTAGTGGCTACTTGTAACCATAGACTACAGATATCCTACTACTGGTCTAGATGGTACCTAAAAATCAGATGGAGAAGCAGAAGAGTCTTGAGAGAAATTAAGGTGTAGGCATGATTGCTATGAGTTTGATTCTGTAGCAGCCATCATAATGGCTGTGCAAAATATTAAGATGGCTGTGACTCCTGTTGTCATCAGTGATTTAGGATCTCATCATATTGAGGTCTAATTTATGACTGATAGCAAGGGGATTCACCCTGCATCGCGGTGAATCATATAAGCAGCAGGGTAACCCATCGTCCCACACTCTACTCACCCACATCATACGTTTACTCATCCCATGGGGTAAGTGTTGCTATCCAGCTTACCCCCTCCCAGCCCCATTCTTCTCTATAAGAACATAGGAATCTCCTGTGTTCTCTTTTCAGCATGCTGCAAGTGTTCTATGATGCTGAAAATCACGAATGTGAGGAGGTATATAGTAACAGGAAGTGGACTGAACAGAAACCATTTTGTTCCTTTTAACCCTTCCCTCACAGGAATAATGAAAGGTCTTCTGATTCTGCTCCTTTTGCTCATCAATTGAATGGTAAGAGGGTGGCAGGAGCATGGGGTGGCATTGGGGAGCTCCAGATGGCATCTTGCTCAGGCTCCCCAAGATTTGGCACCACTGCTGACTATAGTTGTGAAAGTATGTGCTCAGAGGCAATCTTCAAATGAATTTACAAGTTACTTCCAAATACACATTAATAAAAGAACTGCCCATCATTTTTTGTTCTGATTTGTTCCTTTTTATTTAATATGAAGCTTGTCTTTAAAAGTCTGTTAGTTTCTTGAGTTTATGGTGCCAAATTTACAACCATCTCCGGTCACCTATGCTTGCCAAGTGTGATTCATATTTCAACTGTGAATTGCCCACAGCCTTTAAAACCAAGATACCAGCTGCTGAGGCTTTGAAATCCCCAAACAGAAGCAGTAAGCTCATTATAGTAAATTGTGGATGATACTTGAGAGGATGCTCATGAAATCAAGAGGAAAAAAAGGAAAGGCGAATGTACTGGTAGTTGGCGATTTTTATTGTACAGACTATAAAATGGAATTGACAAGAATGTGATGGATTTTTGCAAACATCACACACACATTCCTCAGGATACAAATAATTTAGGTCCATTATTAGCACTGGAAGCTACATAAAGCCATAGATTCAGTAATACTTGTTGCTGCTTAGTTCAATTATTTTTTAATACACAGATTAAATTGCAGCTCTGATGGCCTTTCATTGTAAGACTTACAATCAGCATTTTGATAAATGACAATCTGAGGCTGAGATATAACAATATAATCACAGTTTAATCACAGCTATCTAGCCTGTGATTAAATTCTTTAATTCAAGCCAATCAACTTTCTAGCACTGGACCACATTTCTTTCGCTGCTGTATAGGGATGCATATCTTTCCATTCAGAAAATGGCCAAGATTCTGAATCAGAGGCACTGATATAC